GAAGATAGCTAGCAAGAGAGCTGACTTGATGGATGACCTTAGGGTGGTGCAGACATGAAAGCAGCAGTAGTTCTTCCTCTTGATTAGATAGATCAGGAGACCTGGGTTCTGTCAAGGCTCCTTCCCCACTCTGAACTTTAGGATACAGATGTGGGGGCCTGCATGAAAACTTCTAAGCTTAACTACCAGCTTAGATCTGGTCCGCTGCCACCACTTCCAATGTGCTAATTCCCTTCCCTGGGTAGCCTTGAGAGACTCTTCACCAATTCCCTGGTGAATACAGATCCAAACCCCTTGGATCTTAAAACAAGGAGAAATTAACCATCCCCCCTCCTTTCTCCCACCAACTCCTGGTGGATCAAGATCCAACCCCCTTGGATCTAAAAACAAGGAAAAATCAATCAGGTTCTTAAAAAGAAGGCTTTTAATTCAAGAAAAAGGTCAACATCATCTCTGTAAAAACCGGATGGAAAGTAACTTTACAGGGGAATCAAACTTAAAGACCCCAGAGGACCCCCCTCTAGCCTTAGGTTCAAAGTTACAGCAAACAGAGGTAAACACCCTAGTAAAAGGTACATTTACAAGTTGAGAAAACAAAGATAAAACTAACACGCCTTGCCTGGCTGTTTACTTACAAGTTTGAAATGTGAGAAACTTGTTCAGAAAGATTTGGAGAGCATGGATTGATGTCTGGTCCCTCTCAGTCCCAAGAGCGAACTACCACCAAAATAAAGAGCACAAACAAAAGCCTTCCCCCGCCCCACACACCAAGATTTGAAAGTATCTTGTCCCCTTATTGGTCCTTTGGGTCAGGTGGCAGCCAGGTTACCTGAGCTTCTTAACCCTTTACAGGTAAAAGGATTTTGGAGTCTGGCCAGGAGGGATTTTATAGTATTGTACACAGGAGGGCTGTTACCCTTCCCTTTATAGTTATGACAGGTTCTCTTTCTGACTCTGCTGTTGATTCATTGTATTGAACTGACTCAGTGAAGTTACTTCATTTCTGTATGCCTCAGTTTCCCCATCTGTAAAATGTAAATAATAGTAGCTAACCATTTTTGTAAATCTCTGTGGTCCTTGTAAAATAATGTACTATACAAATGTCTAGGAGTATTCCTTTACAGAAAGAAGCACTGGTATGTTTTGAGCTACTGGTATTTGAAGTTGGAAAGTGGATTGCATGTTTCACTCATACAGAGCACAAACTGCAGACTTGTATTTCTTTAGGAGGTAGGAGACCTGGGCTTCAGATTTAGATTCCAAAAAAGATACACAGAAATGTTATCTGAAGCTTCTTTTAAAAAGGCCAAAGGCACACAAGGTGGTCTGTGTGGTATACTGTGTAATGAGCAATAAATTGACTTGTTAGACCGCCATGATAGGCATGCTGTGTTTTTAGCCAGGTCACCCAGGGCAATGAGGTAGCCAGCTCTCATATGCTAAGAAGCTTAAAGTTAGCCAGTTCTTGGGTGGAAATTCCCAACCCCTCACCAAAAAAACCAAAACAAAAATCCAACAACCAAATGCAAGTGCTACAAGAACTAACTCAGTAGATTGTTTTTTCCCCTCTGAGCTTGAACTAATGGGGGCACAATAGGTAATGGTCACTTCTAGTCCATTAAAGAACTCACTACATGTTTGCAACAATTAAGATATTGACCTTGGTGTCCTGGCCAGATTTTCACTTTGGTAAACAAATATCCTGCCAACCTCAGTTCCCCTGTAGTTTCAGAAGAAGTTATTCAGTCCTCTGAAAGCTGTTGTTTTACAGCATAGCAGTACTATACAGCTGCTTCATTACAATACAGAATAATAATACTTTGTTCTTATAGACCTTATTTCATAGTAATGAAGGGCTGGAAGGGACCTGGAGATGTCATCAAGTCCAGTCCCCTGCACTGAAGCAGGACCAAGTAATCTTGACTATCCCTGACAGGTATTTGTCCAGCCTGTTCTTAAAAGCCTCCCTTGGAAACCTGCTCCAGAACTTAACTATCTTCATGGTTAGAAATTTTTTCCTAATATCTAATCTAAATCTCCCTTGCTGCAAATTAAGCCCATTACTACTTGTTCTCCTTTCAGAGGAAATAGAGAACAATTGATCATGGTCCTTTTTTATAACAGCTCTTACTATATTTGAAGGCTATTATCAGGTCACCGCTCAGTCTTCTTTTCTCAAAATGAAACATGCCCAGCATTTTTGAATTTTTTTGCTCATAAGATATTTAGAAAATCTGCCCTAACATTTGTTGCTCTCTTCTGGGCTCTCCCCAGTTGTCTACTTCTTTCCTGAAACGTCTTGCCCAGAATTGAACAAAGTACTCCAACTGAGGTCTCAACAGTGCCGAATAGCGTGGGACAGTTACCTCCTGTGTCTTACATATGGCACTTCTGTTAAAACATGCCAGAATGATATTAGCCATTTTTGCAAGTGCATCGCATTGTTGACACTCATTCAGTTTGTGATCCACTATAACCCCAAGGTCTTTTTCAGCAGTACTACCACTTAGCCTGTTATTCCCATTTTGTAGTTTTGCATTTGATTTTTCTTTCCTAAGTGAAGTGAAGTGCATTGCACTTGTTTTTATTGACTTTCATCTTGTTGATTTCAGACCAATTCTCTAATTTGTCAAAATTATTTTGAATTCTGATCCTGTCCTCCACAGTGCTTGCAAACCCCCCACCCCCAGGTTGGTATCATCTGCAAATTTTATAACCATACTCTCCATTCCATTATCCATGAAAATATTGAATAGTATCAGACCCAGGATTGTCCCATTCAAGACCCCACTAGGCACACCCTACCAGTTTGACAGCAAGCCATTGCATTGATAACAACTCTTTGAATATAGGTTTTTTTTCGGTTGGTTTGGCATGATTTGTTCTTGATGAATCTGTGCTGGCTATTCCTTATAACCCTATTATCCTCTACATGCTTACAAATTCGTTGTTTAATAATTTATTCCAGTATTTTTCCACATATCAAAGTTACGCTGACTGGTCTATAATTTCCTAGCCCTCTTTGTTTCCCTTTTTAAAGACAGGTGGTATGTTTGCTCTTTCCCAGTCCTCTGCAACCTCTCCCATGCTCCATGAGTTCTCACAGTAATTGCTAGCAGTTCTGAGATTGCTTCAGCTAGTTTCTTAAGTACCTAAGGCTGCATGTCATCAGGCCATACTGACTTGAATATATGTAACTTATCTAAATATTCTTTAGACTATTCTTCCCTATTTTTGCTTATGTTCATTCCCCCTTGTTGTTAATATTAATTGTGTTGAGTTTCTGGTCACCATTTAATCTTTTTAGTGAGGACAGAAGCACAATAGGCATTGGCCACATCAGCTTTTTTGATTTGTCATCACTTATTAGCTCTTCTTCCCCACTAAGTAGAGGATCTACAGTTTCCTTCATCTTTCTCTTCCTCCTAATGTATTTAACAAACCTCTTCCTCTTTCCTATTATGTCTCTTGCTAGCTGTAACTCATTTTGTGCCTTAGCCTTTCTGATTTCATCTCTAGATTTCAAAGCACTTTATGAAGGAGGTCATTATATCCTCATTTTACAGATGGTGAAACTGAAGAACAGAGATGGTAAATGACTTTCTCAAAGTCACAAAGCAAATTGATGACACAAACAGGAATGGCACCCTGGTCTTCTGACTCCCAATCTGGTGCCCCAGGCCCATCCATGCTATGTTCCTGCTTTGCAGCAATGAGTGAAGTGACTCCAATAGACAGCAGGCCAGGTTCTGCTCTGACCCACCTGTGTAAATCAGGATTATCTCCATGGAAGTTAATAGAGTTTAACTGCCGGTATAGCTCTGGATTTACTAGTAATATTTGGGAAGTACTCACTAGTATAAATGAGAGCAAAATTTGACTCTCAGTCTGGCCTTCTCTTTAGGCCCTTCTGCTTGCAAGGTGTTATAACTGATACGGTAAAATAAGGATACTTAAAGCAGGCTAGAAGATTGATATGTTTCTTTAGAATAATTTGACACACTTGCTGACTAGGATGTAGGGTATATGGTAACTAAAGTCTTAAACAAGGAATGTACCTTAATACACAACGCCAGTACCACCATTATCATCAGTTCTACCTTATGGTGGCCAAGTTGCCCCATACATCAGAACATACATTGTCTGGATGTCTGAAGGGGAATTATCATTAGGCTATAAAATCTTGCAGTGAGCTCAGCACTATCTAAAAGCCATTACTGTCTAAACACTGTTTGGCTCATATGAAATGAGCTGATGATTTTCCAAGTAAATGGTGGTTCACAGCACAGTTGGCCTCCTTGTTGGTACTCTCTGCTCTCGGGGAGGAGGGGAGAGAGAGGCAATGATTGATCAGGACAACTGACGCTAAATTATCTTCCAACTCCTAGCGGTATGATGCCTCCACGTGCTAGGTTAGGCATCCTGGCAGGATGGTATAGCAGAAGCTCGCACTGTTTGCAACCCTTTGCTGTTCCTGAGCTTCAGAGAAAGCACCTCAATCTTCAGGGCTGTCAGGGTAGCAGAAAATTTGCACACAATTAAAAACCCATGGCATGTATTGTTTGACATACCACATTTTTCAGAAGTACAGCAACACAGACTATAGGAATTCAACCCTTTTTCTAAAGTATCAGCTCTTCCCCCCCCCCAAAAAAAACACCGAAAATGCCTTGAGAACTGTACCTATCTAGTACTTAGCGTGGACTGTTGGGCATTAGGAGAAATGAGAAGCTGCTCTAACATAATGAACGCACTATGGTGACCAAGACTGAGAAGGTAAGAAAGGGCAGAACTGCTAATTCTCTGTCATGATGATATGCACTGCTGGGAACGTTCTTATATTTGCAGTGGGGTGGAGTGGGTAATCCATTAGGTCTTCTGTATCTCTAACTTCCATGATTCGATGGCCATGTGATTGGGATCCCAGCAGACACTGCAGTAGGGATATGGAAAAGAGGGTAATGCAGCAGTCTTAATTGACTTATTTTCCTTCTCTCTAGGATCTTCTTCTGGCTCCAAAATGGCCCTACAGGGTTCCTTCAACTGTTGGAATGGCACAGTAATCAAACTGGGGCAGGCATGTGATTTCATCAGGGACTGCGCAGAGGGAGAGGACGAGGGAGATATGTGCAGTGAGTAAATTCTGACCCCCAGTTTACATCCTTTCACCTCCCTTCTGAAAAATGGGAGCCAGATGTTGCTTCCCAAATCACAGGAGCTTTGAATGAACACATGAAGGCTAATCGCCAGAGAAACAACAGCCTTGTACCCACCTTGCCTCAGTGACTACTGCCAGTCATCATCTAGCCCCCTCTCACTGGGGCAAACTGCAGTCTGTAATGGCCACTCATCATTGGCAAGGGGGTTGGACCTGCTGCCTTTCCCTGCAGCCCCAGTCCCTCCCCTGGCCTTGAGCCAGGCCTCAGCCTGGGAACTCACCTGGCCTGAGCTCCCCAGCACTGCTCTGCTTGAGGTACCCTGTGCTCCCAGGCAGTTAAACCCTTCTTACTCCAGGGCTGGAATGAGACTGACCCAGTGCCTCCCTTAGCTCTTATATCAGGGCCAGCTGTGGCCTGATTGGGTGTGGCCACAGCTGTGGCTGCTACTCAGCCAGCCTCCCTCAGCTGCTCTCACGCCTTTTCTCCTAAGAGCAGAGTAACTGCCGGGCATACACTATCACACAACTGGGGGTGGGGAGGAATAGATATACAGGTGTGAAAAGTGCGTATTAACCCCACTTTATAACTGAGGACGTGACCTGTCTGAGGTCACAGAATGAGTCTGGGAAAGAACCTATCTTTCCTGACTCCTAGTCCTATGCTTTGACCACTAGTCAGTCCTTCCTCCCAAAAATATCTGTTTGCTCTTCCTCCTTTTCCTTATTTAAATAGCCACTCCTGGGCAGTCTGTAGTCTAAGGCTATGTCTATGCTACAACCTAAGGGTGGGATTCCGCTGCTCACGTACACATACTCGCACTGGCTCTCCTTGAGCTAACACAAGTATAAAGAGCAGTGTAGTCATGGTGGCACGGGTAGCAGCAGCAGAGGCACAGCTGAACCATCCCAAGTAGAAACCCACTTGAAAACCAGCGGTTATGTACTCGGCACAGCTTAGCCATGCCTCCATTGCTCCTACCTATGCAGCTATCTATGCTCATTCTAGCTCAACGAGAGCCAGTGCAAGTATGTGTATATGAGATGGGGAAGCACACCCCTTCCTCACAGTATAGACGCAGCCCTATGATGATGCATTTTGAGATAATCAGTTTCTTGAGTTTGCCTTAAACTTCTACATTCCTGAATATTTCACCGATGGTTGTACTGTTCCAGAGACATCTATATAATGGGCTCTGTGATACATGGTCTTCTTTTTAGTTGTTACTGTAGTAAGACAAATCCTAGATAAAACTGTGACCTCATGCATTGTATCTACCGCAGTTGACTCTTCTCAGCCTTTTAAAGAGATGTCAGTGCTAATGAAAGGTGCTGGATTGACAGTCCTGGAGACTGAATACTTCTGCTTCTCCACAAAACAGGTACATCAAGGGCAGCAAACGGGGGAAGCTTCTCCTGTGCTGCCCTGTATGTACCTCAATCCTGACTTGGAGGGAACCAGCTCTAGGGCCAGGCTGAACAACATACTTTTGCTGGCACAACTATGTCAGTCAGGGTGTGATGAGCTGTGATCCCTGACCAATCTAGCAGTGTTGGTAGAAGTCTCTAGTAAAAACAACAAGGAGTCCTTGTGGCACCTTAGAGGCTAACAAATGTATTTGGGCATCAGCTTTCATGGGCTAGATATAGTGGCGAAACTGCACGATTGCCAGTATAGTTCACTTCACTTCTGGGGAACTGGACTAAGCTATGCTGGCAAAAGTGAAACTTTGCCCATATAAACTCTGTCCACACTTTGCATGCTTTGCCAGTATAGTATACTGTATTCCTACGCTGGCAAAGTGATCCTACTGTATATCTAGCCTAGGAGTAACATGGGAGACCATGGAGAATTCCACCCTCTTTACTGCTAGCAAGTGTGCCAGTCAAATCAATGGTGTCATAAATTTTTATGCAATGTATAAATGGCATCTGAACTAGGAGCACCAACATAGCTCTTATAGGCTACCAAACAGCTTTTAAACGGTTAACTTTTGACATGACCACTAGAGTTTTTACCATGTAAGGTGAAATTTGTTAGTGAGCCTCCCAGCCCGGGTAGAGAGACTCACACTAGTTCAGCTCAAACTAGGGCCCTAAAAATAGCAGTGTATAGATGTTATAGATCCAGTGGAGACCTGGACTAGCTACCCCAGCTCAGACCCAGGACTCAGGTGGGCTTGAGAGCCTGAGCTGCCATCCAAACTGCAACAGCCACACAATTTTTAGCATGCTAAAAATTTAGCAAGTTTGAGTCTGTCTACTTGGCATGGGAGGCTCACTCCCAGCTGCAGTGTTCACATACCCAGTGGTTCACAGCAAACAGGTTTTCATAATAACATTATATGTAGCGTCACTGCTGACCTGAAGCAGATTTGAACTGGCAACCTAGATAAAGCTGTTTTTCACATTACCAATCTCCTGATCCATCCAGTCCCTTCGCTGAAACATTGCATTAAAATTAAAATGCACTTTAAAATGTCTCACTTACAGATCTCAAAAAATCCCCCTTTTGTCTAAAACCTTCAAGTGTAGCTTTAAAAAATGTAATGGGATTTTTATTGTATTTTAATATTTAATTAAAAACAATAAATGGTGACAATTAGAATTCTTTTTACCACTGACTATATTTCACTTCATTTCTAGCAGGAAGTTACATTACTTACCCAGCCCAATAAATGGATCGTCTATATATGTGTTTTATGTCTTGTATCTGCTGTGCATAAATTCCTGTCTGTACTGTTAGGAGCATTGTAGTGTGGGAAGTAGAGCTGTACCAGCTGTTATTACGATCCAAGAACCATCCTTCTGGAATAGGACAGACCTATGGGAGCATGCTTATTGTTTCTCTGACAAGGAGGATGCACCTCTGGCTAGTGCCTCTGGCCAGCCACAGCACGCACACACTAGCGGGGGGGGGGATTGGTTGTGCTCCTAGCTGCCAGATCCCACACCATGGTGGGTCAGCTGGCCCAGCAGCCAGTGCCCCTCTCTCAGTGACATGAAATGCATACACCATATATGGCTCATTTCACCCACCATTGAAATGTCAACATCTATAGTCAATGGAGTTATGCAGTCAGAGAATTTGGCCCACTATGTCCAGCTGAAAATACCATGAGAGTAAAACATGAGCAGATTATAATTAACTACCTTAGAAATTAGCCAAGACGTCTGAGTTCCCATTTCCAGCTCTTGGGGAGAAAATAATAGACAATTTTGAGTTTGACCACAACATAATATTCTGAAAGACAGCATCCTCAGTAAAACTGTGACCCTTCATTCTAGGGTGTGAGAAGAATGCCACCTCTAGAGTCACTTCCTTCAGTACCTAGGTTTCCAATGGTGTGATGGGCTGCCTGGCCTTCTGAAAAACCTAGTGGTTCGCGCACCTGACTTCCAGCTCTTTCCCTTCTCTAAAAGCACACTAGATGTGCCTGTCCCTGACCCTAACCTGGGAATCTTTGGATTTTCACCTGCAGCTGGGCCTCAGCCCCCAAAAGGGATGTGGTAGGGGGAATGCGGCCTTCCATCTCCACCAGGTCCCAGTCCAGGGCCAGGTGGGAACCAACACTGGAAGGGTCCTCCATACAGCGAGTCTGATTGCTGCTCTGGGCTACTTCCTACTTATATGGCCCTTTAGTTTGGGGCATGGCCCCTGAAGTCCAGTCAGTCACTTAGAGTCAAAAGGAGCAAGGATTTGCTGGTTCTCAAAGGGGGTGATGGTTGGAGAAGGTACTGCCTATGGGCCTTACCCACTCTGTGGTCCCCTCTCAGACTCAGCTTGCTGTCTGGCTTCCTGAAGAAGGATTTCTCTCTCCTGCAACCTGTCCACCCCTGTGCCTGGGCTTCTCAGTGCCTTTTAACCCACTCCTCCATCTAGAGCATGTTCAGGAGGCTACCTGAGCCCACTCTTGCCTTTTGGCCCCTTCAGGCCCAGTGTAAGGTTTGTATACCCCATCACAATTGGGTTCTCCAATCTAAGTACTGACCAAGCCCACCCCTGCTTAGCTCATGAGTACTAGTCCATTCAGTTCTATTATTCAATTCTCTGCTGTTGCAGAGCTGCCCTGACCATATGGGACATTGCCTATTGTTGGCATAAGATTATTTTGCAGAACAAAAAACAATCAAACATTTTACACATCAGTTACATCAGTTTATCAGACCAACACACAATGTACCAAATCTTTTTCAGCATTAAGGTTGTCATTTAGTCCTGATAACTTAAACACTTTCATCAATGTTTTTAAGCATGGGGAAAAAATGAATCATTGTTGTAGGTTGTTGGGTTTTTTGTTTTATGTTTTCCCCAAGCATTGCTGCCACATACACAAAAGAACTGTCAGAAAGGGTCAAGCCAAATTAACAACTGATGGTTTCTCTCTTTATGAAGTTCAAAGTCTTGTGTTTTTCTACTGTTTCTTTTGGTTTTGAAGATACTGATTTTGCCTTTTCTTGTTTTTCTTTTGTGTTTTGTTTTGTTCTTTTCCTGGCTCAAAATGATCCCTAAAGCCTGCTGTCTGTTAACACCTCTTTACTTATTAATGGCCAATGAAAATGTCATGATGGTTCTGCTACATACAGCCAATTAGTCTTTGTAGAATCAGGGACCCCTGGAGAAAAGAAATGTTGTTGTTTGATTTTTAATCAAACAGTCTTGCAGGGAAAAGAGACCCCCTCAAAGAAGCATAAATGGAATCAGATGCCAAATCATGGTGGTTTGGGGTCATATGTACAGATGTATCAGACTGGCAATAGTGTGCTTGTAAAGGAATTTCCCCTACTGAATATTGGTTTCTCCCCCAGTTATCTTGTGATCATGTTAGGATTACTTGAGCTAGGGGGATCCTACAAGACCAGCTTCCTGTGATTGCAGGGGAACCTGGATGTATATAATCAAGCTGGTTTATGTCTTTTGTTCTCTCTATTTTGATAGTATTGTTGGGGGGGCGGGGGGAAGGGGTTGAAGCTCTG